TCCCATTCCCAGTGGCCAAATCCCAGTCCCAGCAACCCAAGTCCCATTTTCCCAGTCTAAAAATAGATCAATCCCAGTTCCCATTTTACCCCTTCAGGCACGGGCAATAGGACAGGTGTAGTGCAGTGGTGTAGTGTTGTTAAATAGAAAGTTAGAAATGGTATTGTACTTACCCATGTATTATAATTATGTTTAAAAGATCAGAATATTCATAACTTCTTATTTTAGTTCATAAATAGTTCTTTAATATTCGAAACAAATTCCACATCTATTTTGTCTGCCGCCGCCATGTTTACTCGCCCCAATCTACATACTACACGGCATTGCCGCCCCTCCTGGCAAGATATTATAGGTCCCTAATAGGGAGCTTTAGATTTGAGTACGACTACGAGTACGAGATTCGTCAAGCGAAACGCGTGCTGTATGCTTACGCCATCCCGTACTGACGCGAAAAAGTCGTACTCGTCGCCCATCTGAGTACGAAGTTGTGGAGAAATCTCGTAGTCCTCACTACGACTTTTCAAAAAAACAAAGAAAGTTGGCTAATTTTTGTTTTCCAAAAATAATTTGTAGCATTTATAAAGCGTTTATCCGGCGCAAATAATATATTAGTAATAAATATCTGACCTGTTTTTAATGTTACGACTTATTTACACGTTTCTTAGGGGATTTTAGTCTGCAGGAGATTTACTTAATGAAACTTTTTCTCTCCTTGTTGGTTTACTGCTATAAAAGCAACATTTGAATGGAAATGAAAACGACTGCGGTAATTTCCTAGCACGCGATCAAATCTCGTACTCGTAGTCGTACTCGTAGTCAAATCTAAAGCTCCCTAACAAGCAAGCGAGAAAAATTAAGGAGAAAATAAGAGGGTAGGAACATTGTGGGCGTTTCGTGGGCGTGTCATCGTTCTGGGCGAATCGGCTTTCGCAATCTTGTATCACATGACTAATTCAAATCGTCATAGGCGGGAAGCAGCATTACGTCATCCCTACGTCAAATAAAACGTTATTAAAACGCGTTGTGGATACGTTTGTGCCATATATGGAAGTTATGGATACGTTTGTGCCATATATGGAAGTGTCACTGCATCCAGCTTATGACAACGATGTTCCTACCCTCTTATTTCTCCTTAATTTTTCTCGCTTGCTTATTATTCTGGCAGGAGGGGCGGCAATGCCGTGCAGCATGTAGATTGGGACGAGTAAACATGGCGATGGCAGACGAAGCAGATATGGAATTTGTTTCGAATATTAAAGAACTATTTATGAAACAAAATAAGAAGTTATGAATATTCTGATCTTTTAAACAAATTATAATGCATGAGTAAGTATAATACCATTTCTAACTTTATATTTAACAACACTACACCTGTCCTATTGCCCGTGGTTTACTAAAACAGGCGGGAAATTTGTCGTCGCTGACCAAAAAATCGCGGGCAGAAACAAAGCTCCATTGCATTCGATTCACAAATTAACGGTTATTCTTTTAAAGATCGATCATAAATTCCTTGTTTTGGGATGATTCGTTTTGCAATGAGTGATTGGAAGAAGTGAATATAGCGATGTGAACATGGGAGCAAATACCGTATACGTTGAGCTATGGCTTGTTTAAAACCGTAATAAACGATGAAAACGTAATATGAGAATGAAATGTAAGTTGGCACAAATTGCGGGACTAATAAAATAATTAGCCATCCTGTTGCAGCTAGAGGTATAAGCGCATGAAATGAACTGAATGCCGAGAACAAAAGTTTAATATGAGACAGCTGCATCAGTTGGAAACAATTTTCAACATTAATAATTATATTTTTTTAATTTCGATTTTACTACAATATTACAATTCCACATGAAATATAACGCTTCTCTATATAACGATACATCTCAAAAAGATTCGTATACAAGTAATTTACGACTTTGAAGAAAGCAATAAAGTGTATTTTTTCAAAACTTTTAACACGGTTCTTGTTACTTGGTAGTGAAGTTCGAGTTTCTTATTAAGTGGAATTGTAGGTTTTTCCTTCTCTGACTCGTTATCCATAACAACATTGTTAAGTTAAATTCCAAGACATCGTCCATGAAAGTTATTTCGAAACTTGTGATTCACTGCGAACATTTTTTCTCTGAAATGGTTACACGACAACCGTCCAGTTGATGAGTATCCTGGGTACTTTACGGATCTTTACGGTCTTCCCACGAATTGCAACACGGTTATTTTGGAACAGATAATTACAACTCAACTGAATAGTTACAAGATGGCAATGTCGGGTAAAGATGATGATGAATCGTGTCCGGGAAAACAAGAGAGAAATGAGAAAATAAATACAGAACACACGAGGTAACCCTCGACAAATAACACAAAAAGAAAGGAAAGTTTTACGCATCACACAACAAACATTCACATGAAAGTATTTTTCTTCCTCTGAACCATTGAACACATTTGTACAAGTTCACAAACAGACACATCATATATGTCAATATTTGAGTGCGTTTTGAAGAAAATATATCAACGTACGCAGTGACAATAAACAGTAACTATTCCCACCATTAATGAAATAATTAACATATATGGCTGCAAAGATAGAAATACAAAAACAGTAATAAGTATATGAAAATAAGTCATTGATTATCACATTGCTTCATTCAACAATTTTGCACACTAACAGCAAAATTTGGTAAAAAATACTACTTCAGTAAAAATGCATTTTACGACTTTTACTGCATTTTTAATGCATTTTACGATTGGAAACCTAGTGATCAGAAAACACGAATATTAATATACCCTGCGAATCATCCGTTTGGTACTTATTATCACAATGAAACTTAAACCTCAATGGTTTCAGTAGAGCAGAACATTTTCAGTGCTCGTGAATTAGCCTCTCTCACGAAGGCCAAATTCGCCATTTTTGGGGTACTTTTTTGAAAAACGACGTGAAAAATCTAAGCGATATGAAAACATTTTTTCAAAGATATGACTGTAAATTAACTTACAATGATTATTACTCACAATTATAGTTCTACAAATCCCTTATTCACTGCCTTCAATCTCAGACTTGGAAAAGGTGGTACCCCAAAAATGGCGGCGTAAGAAAGGCTAATTAACTACGTCTAATATCTTCCAAACTTTTAAATTATGTTAATGTTTATAGGGTTTGACTATTATGTACTATTTAAAACATGAGGAGCAGTGTTTTAGCAGATATAAAGATACGAGGCGAAGCCGACCGAGTATCTTTAGGTCTGATAAAACATGCACTGCGAATGTTTTAACTTGCTTCAAAAACGACCGATCTAGTAAATTCATTGGCGAAGTAATTTAAAAAAAAAAAATTGTGTAAGCCGAGAAAATCAAAGTTAAAGTTTATGTAAATAAAAGAAATGTCTATCACATATAAAGATACGACACGCTTATGAGTTTTCTTTGTGTTTTCCTCATGAATTATTGCGTTTTTAAAGATTAAATGAAAACACTTTAGTTTTATTTGTTGGGTTATGCAGTCCCAGCTACGTAGTATCAAAAAAGGCCAACACGGCATGATAAAAGTATTAAGCATGCAATGCGTTTCAGATAAACATGAAAATTATTCTCAAAAATAATGAAATCTTGATGGAGGTTGCCGCTTTGTTATATATTAGCGAATGAAGTTCGACAAAAAGGAAAGTATTACGTTAAACTTAGTGATTATGGGACCTGTAGTGCGTTAGGGGATGGCAGTAAATACCTTCTTGTTTAGGAGACCGGATAATTTGTTCATTTTTCGCTCATGTTAAATTAACATAACTTAATAACAATTTAGTTTTTGGACAGTTCCTACAGTGACAAGATGAGGCACACATTCGGTTAAAGTAAAAGTGTACAATGATGCTAGTAAGATTATAGGCAATATTTTATTGAAGTGCTGGGATGGTATGGGAAACCTATTGGACAGATTGGACATAATAATTGTAAATAATCGATTGGACTATAATTGTACATAATAATTGTAAATTGGATCCTATCGATTAAAACATCCGAAGTTTAAAACAGATTCAAGGGTGCAGTGAATGAGCCATAACAAAGCTCCAGTTGATGTAAAAAGACCATATTGAAAAAGAAAAAACACTTTACTGGGAAAAAAATTCACAACTCTGAATAGAATAGACGACGTACAAGAAATATTTAGATATTACACAATTATCGTGATTTGTCAGTGGCGACCAGATCTATTACTTGCCGATGCCCAAGACAGAAGAGGAAAGACATTGAAATCACGAAACTTAAATCACGGTCGTTTCTTCTACAACAGAAGCAGAAACTGACCCCAACCTCGCTTCTTCTACAACAGAAGCAGAAACATTCATCAAGCTCGCTTCTTCTAAACAGAAACCACTGTTGCTCAGCTGCAACACATTTTCTTCACAACCATATTACCGCCCAACTGGCGAAATAAGTTTCCTTCAACTTTGGGCTTCTTTTTTATAAGTTTGTCAAGCAAACACAAAATCCTAATTTGCAAAAGTTCGGTAAAATAAGCAAGCCATCCATAGAGACATGTTTACAAAAGCGAAGCCAATGAGCACGAACAGATCATTATTTGCAGCGGAGCTACGATTTTGCCTAATGCGCATATGCTCAGACTATTATTTACACAATTACGATACAAAACCCTTTTAAATATGGCTTTATAATAAGAATATTTTAGATTGTCGTAGTTCCGGATGGCGAAACAGCAAAGAAAGTGCCTGCAGTGCCTGGATTGTTGGAACATCGTAAAGATTCCAAGGAACTATATGCAAGGGCGGATGAAACTCGAGTGTTGTTGCGGAAGAGGAGGTAGTTGGAGCTGACGTGCATTTGCATTAGTTATTGTAGGAAATTAGCCAATCAAAATTGAGTAAATAATCATATGAATAAACATGGTTAATTGTGGTTTGCTGATCCAAATGAAGAGTTCCTAGGCCCTCATAATTTTGGTAGTAGTTGAATGAGGAAAGCTTGAAAGAAATTGTAAAAGTTTGAATGTGATCCGAAAAAAGTACTTGAAACTTCTTCGTAAACGTAAAAGAAAACCAATATCAAATATCAAATTAAATATCAAATAAACAACATTTGGCTTGCGGTTCTCAGTAAGGCTAATGCAAAAACCCATTACAAGGATGAGGAGTCAGGCCATCGTCGAGCATGAGGGAATTAAACCATAATCCGTTCTCTGGTAGCTAAACTATAATCCGTTCTCTGGTAGGTAACATTACGCCCTTACCTGCTTTCACGACGGTTGTACAGCTGATACTATTATAAGGCATTGACCGCATTATTACAAATAGTTCAAATATACGCTTTGTCGGTTTATGTCATGTTATGCAAAACATAAGTCTCACCTAAATGTATACATGTATGTAACATGACTAGGGGTTTTGCATTGAATGTTTATAGTCTTCGTGATAATTGCAGTGCTCTATCCATGTATTTCAGACGGGACTTAAAATAAGATACAAATTATATGTCACAATATTATACTACATAGTAAATTATATTTCTATGGGTCCTAAGCGTGTTTTGACAAAAATACAAAAAAAATTACTACCCGAAAAAATGGAAGTCACTATCAGTTTGTGTGACAGTCAAAATGGCGGAAAAGGAAAAACGTGAGAAAAAAGAACAGAAAGCAAATAACAGAGGCATTACATCGCCAGATATAGCAACTATGCTTTGCTGAATATATGGAATGATGAATTAAATTATCATTGGAGAATACCAAGTCATGCAAGATATAAGAGCACCTTAGAGTTTTTGAATGTTATTGTACGTAAGAGCCGCCCATGTTGAAATTGCATGAACAGAATCTTGATGAATTTATCGAGGAGAAATGTAGTCATCGTGATAATTGCACTGCTCTATCCAGGTATTTCAGACGGGACTTAAGATAAGATACAAATTGTGTACACAATATTATACTACACACTAAATTATATTTCTAATACACTTAAATTTGGTTAAATTAATACATGGTCTATGGTCCCGATTGTAATCAGCCCACCTAGGTGGCAGATAGAGCGTTTTATTGCCCTGGATTAGTGTACGTGCTTCATACCTTGGGGACAACGAAAGGAAAATGGGGTTAGAAAGTGGATTCAGTTATAATGGCGAAAGCAGTCGTTAAAAGACCTCACAGTGGCAGACCACCTGAATGTCAAATGTCTTCAAAGAGAAGCTCATATGCCATTCCAGGGCAGGTCCATCTCAGCAGTTTAACACTTATCCAACATTGAATCTTGATAAAAAGTTTGAATAAAGAACTGAAGAATTAAACGCAAGGACACATGGTATTATTTTCATATCATCGACTTTTAAACCCAGGTTAGAACCGATGACCATGCAGATACTCTTTGTCACAATTGAAAAACACTATCCAGGGATCACAGACGAAACGGTAACAGCCATTGCGAAATGATGAAGAAATGCCTGGACAACGCGTTGCTATGACGACCTATGATCCGTTGAGACTGGAAGAAATCCAGCAGGTAGATGCCAGAAGGGAGAATATTATATACATTATTTATTTATTTGGAAATTATTTTCAACACCTTACGCAATGAGGACACGAAGTGAACGTCTTCCCTCATAAAAGCACGAAAAAGTGGGGACGGAGACAGTTTGGTTCGGCTTCTGTTCAATGTTGTAAAAGACCATAACAACCAGTACGTTAACGAAATGGTTATAGCCAGTAACGGTCAATGTATTCAAAGTCTTCTGGCAGACTGCCGTCAGCGTCAGAACCCGTTGCGCCACAACACTTTCCAGGAACTTCCACACGAATTGTTGTTATCGACGCCCAATTATTCGGTCGGGCAATTAATGCGGCGAAAGAAAAGTTAGAAGCACACAGGTTTCAGTGCGAAGTGCACACAACTTTGGAATTCCATCAGTGCCCCAGTTTACCGGTACACGCGTGATTTAACAACAGCATTTCGAAACGTAAAGAGAATTATGAAGCTGGCTCAGAATACCTTGTACAAGGTCAAACATTAAAATACATTTCTAGTGTATTTGAGTCTGTATAAAAAAGTTGTAAAATGTCAGATTTTGTGTTTTTAATTAATCGCATGCCATAGGTAACTTTTTGTCAGAAATAATTCATAGTTAAAAGTTGAATAAAATTTGCAAAAGAAACCGTGCGTGTCTCGAACCGGCCCGTACGTGCAGTTCTATTTGTTGGCACACAAGGAAAACTACGACAGCCAGATTTTGCTACGTAAGCTACAAGTCAGTTTACATATTTGCGTGATATGCTGTGGCCCATCTATAAATGGTTGGAAAATTATGTACAGTCAATGCTCCGTGCTGCGGCATTCTACGATGTGGAAAGTGAACTTGTATTTCATTTATTTTATCCACATTCAGCATCTTTAGATAAATTTGACCTCAGACTACAACCCCAGTATCAAATTGACCTCAACCCACAACACCACGTATGCTATGGAATACCTATACAAACGGTGGCGCATATCCAAAAACAATTGCCAATTTTAAACGTGGTCAAATGGTAATAACTATAGGTTCCAAATGAGTGATGGATCGACACCGGCCGAACTAGTTTTTTAATTTTTTTAGTATTAAGTAATATATGAAGAAATAGGGCCTGCAGGTGAAAGCAGGCTGAGAACGGGAGGATTCAAGAGCTCGTAAGCATCATTCAGATTTATATAGCTACATGATTGACAACCATTTCGTGCTTGGGGTCATGTACGAGATGGAAAGAAGATACAGAGAGCACCCCCCGGTGTAACGCGGCAAAATTTCTGACTTGCGAAATATCTGACTATTGTAGAACTGCCCATGCGCAGACGATGCGCATGAATGACTTTGGCTCATAAATTTATACGCTTAACCTCTAAAAGACAGAAGGGAAAACCCCGGTTCTTTTAACAAAAACCACTAAAAATATAAAAAAATGTAAACTGAGTATCGATATAAAGAGATTTATCGCTTCCCTTAAATTTAATCCATGCTAATCTACTCTGTCAGTTCCTTGTCATGATGAGCTCTATTTTCTGTGCGTAGGCTTTTGCGCAATAAACCAATCGTACACCAATTGGAATAATTATGGCAATGTGCGTTATAAGCACATGCCGGTTTATTAATTTCTTGTAAGATAAGATCTGTAAAGGTCTGTAAATACATTACTTTATAACAGTTTCTAAAATTTTTAGAAACACCCCTGTATTCTATTGCGAGCTGTAGGTGATGTGCAATCACTCCCATGAGATTCAAAGAAGAAAGAGATTTTACACTTTTCGATTTTATCTTTTCGTTTGCGAGATATATGCATTTGAATAGTGATTTTGGTGGAAAAAAGTTGGGACAACTTAGCCCAGAAAAGAGTGGAGGTAGATTACCGCCAATCTCACTGTCATGAAGTGATATATAAAGATATAGAGATAAGATCTGTAAAGGTGTGTAAAAACATTATTTTATAAAAGTTTCTAAGATTTTTAGAAACACCCCAATATTCTATTGCGAGCTGTAAGGTTATATGCAACCACTCCCATGAGATTCAAAGAAGAAAGAGATTTTCCACTTTTCAATTTTATCTTTTCGTTTGCGAGATATACGGATTTGAATAGCGATTTTGGTGGAAAAAAGTTTGGACAATATTGCCCAGAAAAAGGTGCAGGCAGTCAGCAGATTACCGCCAATCTCACTGTCATGAAATGATATATAAAGATAGAGATAAGATCTGTAAAGATCTGTAAAAACATTATTTTATAACAGTTTCTAAAATTTTTAGAAACGCCCCTATATTCTATTGCGAATTGTAGGTAATGTGCAACCACTCCCATGAGATCCAAAGGAGAAAGAGATTTTACACTTTTCGATTTTATCTTTTCGTTTGCGAGATATATGCATTTGAATAGTGATTTTGGCGGGAAAAAGTTTGGACAATATTGCCCAGAAAAGGGTGGAGGCAGATTACTGCCAATCTCACTGTCATGAAGTGATATATAAAGATAGAGATAAGATCTGTAAAAACATTATTTTATAACAGTTTCTAAAATTTTTAGAAACGCCCCTATATTCTATTGCGAATTGTAGGTGATGTGCAATCACTCCCATGAGATTCAAAGAAGAAAGAGATTTTACACTTTTCAATTTTATCTTTTCGTTTGCGAGATATATGCATTTGAATAGTGATTTTGGTGGGAAAAAGTTGCAATTGCAGGGAGTGCGAATTCTTTTTTCAACAAATTTTGCAAAAATAAGAAATAAATAAGAATTACAAATTGCATATTTATTTGACACCCTGTGAAAAGATTTTTTGCCAAAGTTTGTACACTGACATATTTTATACACGCCCCACGTGAAAATCAGTATTTTGTTGATGTGGTTATCATGCCTAAATATCTATCTATCTATCTATCTACCAAATACCTACCAGACTTTGACGAAGAAAACGAAAACTTCTTCAGGAGAAGTCATCAATACCTGCTGGCACCGACAGTTGGATGTAAGACCATGCCATAGATTGTGTTGCTTGGATGGCCGATGTTACGAATCAAAATATGAATTGAATTGAAAATATCGAGTTAATTTTTTATATAGAGACTTAAAATGGAAAAAAAATTTGCAAAGGAGAAAAAGTCATTCCCATGTTTTTTTTTTACGAAAAGCAATAGTTCTGAACAGAATATATACAGAAATCGTCTACTTGTGTAATATTGGGCTCAGAAGAATCCAATAAGATATATTACAATGTATATCTGTGTTAGAAGAATCACAAATTTATCAGTTTTTACTGTTATGTGTTTTACCCTCAGTAAATAAACTCGTTATGTTATGTTATATGTTATATCTTTTATGTTATATATTATAATTTATGTTACGTTATAAGGTGATCGTACGAGATCCCATGCACAAGATCAATTCTGAATATGAAATAAATTCGTTACGACGTGAAATTGATGATTTACATGCCAAACTCAAAGTCAGAGAGCAGCAAAAATATGAAATGGAGATCAGCAAAATATGATGAGATTAAACGCGACAAACTATATAGTTTAAGTTACCGGCGATTAGAAGCGCAATTGACAATATATTGTACACACTCATTTAATATATGCTAAACTAGGAAACAGAGAAAATAGGATTCATTTATTGACTGATTGAACTGCAAGCATTTCATCTAACGTGACAGAAGAGATGAGGTGTCGAGGGAACAAAACTCAAAATGACTCACGTTTTAACGAGAACACCTTTTTTGAGAAGACCGGCTAATTTGTTCACTTTTTATTCTTGTTACATAACTTGGAGTAATTTAGTTCTTGTACGAGCGAAAGTACTGGGATTGAATAAAGAACTGAAGAATTAAGCATTGCGAGAGTCTGCTTGAATATAGGTGCAAGTTTGAAATAAGCACTGAAGAATTATGCTCAAGCAAACATTAAGGGTGCAAGCATTTCATCCAACGTGACAGAAGAAATCGAGATGTTGAAGTAACAAAACTCAAAATGACTTAAATCTGAATGAAAATACCTTAGTTTCAAAATTTTAACAGTTTTTCTAGAAAAAGACTATGTGGGAATGACGAAATAGCGTATTGGCCGAATGACTGAACCTTTTGGTTAAATATACTGAAGTAAAAAGCACTAAAATTGGATTAATTTAGTAAGGGGGAGCTTCACCTACTGAAATTTGGTGATACTGGAAAAAAATATCAAAATTTTAAAAACATCATAATAGTATACCTTAACATGTACTTTATCAACTACTGATGTTTTTTTAAAATTTTTATGCGTTTTACCATTAAAAAATAGACTTTTGGTAGAGAACCTGAAAATCTGTCGATTGTTTGCAGCTGGTTACCATGGAAACGGAATTCAAAAAACCTCTGAAAAGGCCGTTTTTCTGGGCCATTTTGATGTAAAAATATTGAATAGGGCTACCTATGCTAAATGTGTGTATTAGGGATACGAGGGGGGCATAGGTACATGCTTATTGCATAATTTTGCTTATTTACATTCTGATTTGCATACTGTGGTCAACATTCGAAACAGGTTTGAGAATATATTCTGCTGAATCGCTATTTTGTCGCTATATTTTGTTGTATTTTTTGCTTGTAATAATGCCAAAAGGTTCTAAAGAAGGCACAAAGTTGCGTGTGAGAAACAAATCAACGAAGAAAAACCGTTTCAAAGGGAAACGTTTCGCTGATTTGCGCAAAGATGGCGAAAATAATGGCTCTCAATCTGCCAGCCAACAAAACGCAATTACTCAAGATCGAGTGATAAATAACGAAGATTTGGTTACTGTAAAGTCAACATCGGCAAGAAAACTGGAAAATGCTAGTTCTGAACTACCCCAAACTCCCGAATTTACAAGACAGAATTCACAAGAGGAAAAAGACGGATACCGGATTGTTTATATTGAGAACATACGGAAAGCTGAAATGATGCACAAATGTAAGAATGGGACAATCATAACTTGTGCAGATGCTTCAAAACGTGCTGGATTGAGCAGCAGCTACTATTTTGAATGCACCAAATGTAGACAGAGAGTGGACATGGATACTTCGAAGCCAGTCGAGGGAAAAGCTCGTTCTTTTGATGTAAATCGGAGAACGAATTTTGCCATGGGTGAGTTGGGCTTAGGCAGAGAGGCTCTTGCAACCATTTGCGAAATTTTAAATATGCCACCCCCCGTAAGTGATAGTGCTTATCAAAAACATAATCGCTCGGTGAACTTAGCAACACGAAAAGTTTTGGAAGAAAGGTTGAACGATGCCGGCCATCGAGTACGCACATTCCTGCAGAAGGATGATGCAGAAATTCTTGATGTTGCCGTGTCATTTGATGGTACATGGAGCAAAAGGGGCTTCACGGCCAACTATGGAGTTGGAATTGTCATTTCTGCTGATACTGGGGAGGTCTTGGACTATGTTGTTTTATCAAAGGTCTGTGAACTTTGCAAAGCTGCAGAGAAACACAAAAGCAATCCTGAGAAATACCAAGAGTGGAAAGATGCTCATGCGGCCAGTGGACTGTGCCAAAAGAATTATAATGGTTCTAGTCCTGCTATGGAAAAAGAAGCAGCCAGAATTTTGTGGAGTAGATCTGTCGAGAAGCACAAGTTCGGGTATATTGATATGGTATGTGATGGTGATAGCAAGGCATATGGAGAAGTGTGGGATATATATGGGGTTTGTGATGATTGTGAGAAATATGAAAATATGGACAAACAGTCAGCAGAGTACCAAAAGTGGTTGAAATCGAAAGCACATGCTAATTGGGAGAGAGAACATAGCACAAGCAATGAAAATTGCCATCGGGTTAGCAAGCTTGATTGTGTCGGACATGTGCAGAAGCGTATGGGCAAAAACCTGATAGCTCTGTCTGGAAAGTCAAAGCTCGCAGATGGTAAACCGGTGGGAGAAAGAGCAGGAAGACTCACCAGGCCTATGATTGACAAACTGCAGAAATATTATGGCAATGCCATTAGACGGTGCGTGGACAAAAAAGCGAAAAGTAAACAAGAAGTGGAGGATGCAGTAAAGAGAATGCAATGTGCGATAAAAGGAGTATTGTACCACAACGTGAAGATTGTGGATGAAAAGAAGAGGCAT